ATGCCCAACGTATCCCATAAGCCTCCTTCTCCCATACGGGCCAGCGCTGTTCTGTTTCCGTGAGTTTCTTAGATGTATATGCACAGGGTTGCAATACTGCATCATCATTTACTTGTAATAGCACAGCCCCCACTGCCACATCACTTGCATCTGCCTGTATTATGAAGGGTTTGTCCATGTCTGGGTGCCTTAGTACTGGTTCGGCAGAAAAAAGTCTCTTTAGTCTCTCAAACGCTGCTTGGCACTCCATTGTCCATTTTAGTGGCTGGCGAGGTTTTACTGAGGGTGTTCCCTTCGTTTTTAGTAAGTTAGTGAGGGGCAAGGCTATCTGTGCAAATGAGGGGATGAATTGGCGGTAAAAATTTGCAAAGCCCAGGAAACTTTGTAGTTGCGTTCTTGTGCGGGGTGGTGCCCATTCTAATACTGCTCTGACCTTCTCTGGGTCCATTTCAATGCCCTGTGGGGATATGCGATAGCCTAGGTAGTCTATCCTTTCCTGGTGGAATTCGCATTTTGAGAGTTTGGCATATAGGTGGGCGGCTCGCAGCTTCTTTAAAACCGCTCTGACAAGTTTGACGTGTTCTTCTTTTGTTTCGGTAAAGATAAGAATGTCGTCCAAGAAAACAAGGACCCCCTTAAACAGTGCTCCACTTAGAACTTCATTGATTAATTGCATAAAGACTGCAGGGCCCCCTTGTAATCCAAATGGTCAAGACTTTTTGGATTGATAGCACCAACACCCATGGGGGCATTTAAATGCAGTCTTCCATTCGTCCCTTGTCCTTGATTCTTTATCGATAGTAAGCTTCCCTTAGGTCTAGTTTAGAAAAAATTTTTCCCTTTCGATAGGTGTGACAGCATGTCTTTCATGAGGGGCAGAGGGTATAGGTTGCTTTCACTGATTGTATTCAGGGCCCTATAATCCACGCATAAACGTAAAGAGCCATCCTTCTTCTCTATAAAAAGGACCGGGGCAGCCACTTTAGGCTTGGCTGGCTCAATGAACCCTCTCTCCAGGTTTTTTTTTATAAATCTTTCCATTTCCTCCTTCTCCTTTGGGCTCATGGAGTATAATCTGGGCTTCGGGAGTTTTGCCCCAGGCGTGAATCATGGTACAGTCGTGGGTCGGTGAGGGGGGAAGTCATTCGCCCTACTACTCACTGCAGACTTCAGCAAGGGTCCCTATATCCTCTGGTATTTCTGTTAATCTTTTTTCCTCTCCTATGATGCTTTTTCTATTCTTGATTCTGGTAGCCTCCCTTGGGGTTTTAAGTCCATAGGGTCCCCCTTCGGGAATTTGATTTCTGTCGTCCTCCAATTTACCCAGGGGTTCCATTTTTTCAACCATTCCATCCCTAGAATCATTGGGCATTCCATACCTGGGGTCACCACAAACGTTAAGTCCTCTTCATGGTTGCCAAGGGAGAGATGTATTGGCAAAGTGGCTAGGGTAGCTGGCACCCCCCCTGCTATGGATCCATCTAGCTGGCCAAATGAGATTGGTTGTTCCAGTCTCCTGGATGGGATGCCCAGATTCCCCACTAGTGTTGGGCTAATGAGGCAGCGGGTACAGCTAGAGTCTATTAAGGCTTTCACCTTCACAGCTTCGGGCATGGGGGGGATTAATATAGTCACTGTTTTGAAGATGGGTGTGATGCATCCACGTACCAGGGGTTCGCCCTCCGAGCTGTCATCTGAGGCATCCACCGGCCCTGTGGTGTAGGCTGGAGTCCTTTCCCCTTGGTGAGCAGAGGTGGGGGTTTCTGCAATTTCCATCATTCTCATGGCCGTTTCTTTTGGCTTAGCTGAATACTTTCCGGGTTTGTTGATTGGGGATCTGTCTGGGTTGTGCTGGGGGGCCTTTGAGAGGCATTCTACAGCTCGATGCCCTTCTCTTCCGCACTTGAAACATCTCATTTGCTTCTTGGCTGTATCCGATGATTTCACCGGTTGGTGTGTCAGCTCAGGCGGGGGGCGGCTCCATTGTTTTCCTCGGCGGTGCCTCTTCAATATGTCGATCTCTGCTTCCTCTGCCAAGACGTACCATTCCTCAAGTCGATGTGGGTCCCCTCGGGGTAGGCAAGCATCATATAGATCATAGTTTAGTCAGTCTTTGAAATGGCCAAGGAGGATGTCTTCTGGCCAATTCAGTTTGCTGGCAATGGCCCGGAATTCTTGTGTATACTCAGCCACGGGGCGTTTGCCCTGCCTCATCGTTGTTATTTTTTCACGGGCTTTGCGATCAGCCAGGGGGTCTTCAAATCGTCTTCTCAAAGAGGACATGAAACGGTTGAAGTTACTGAGTTCTGGGGCATTGGAGTCATGCAAGTTCACTACCCAATCCGCAGCTGGTCCATCCAGGGCAGATTGCACGATCCGGATGCGGGCTTTGTCGCTGGGAATGTCCTGCCCCTATTCCTCCATGTAGCTGAGGACTTGGGTTAGGAAAAATCCCAAGCGTGTTGGCTCCCCTTTGAATTTCACTTCCAACGGTGGACGTCTTGGAATGGATTGGTGCCTCTGTTGTGGGTGGTAGTGCCTTCCGTCCAGATTGCCATCTGTGGTCCGGTAGGGGGTGGGAGCTCCTGGATCAGTAGATGTCCCTGGGGTTGCAGGTTCCATGTCCCCCTCGGTGTCTCTCCCTTTGCGGCGCCAGGAACTGGGGCGGCCGTAGGGTTCAGTATTCTCCTCTCCTAGGGAGCTGAGAGTTCTCTTCATCAGGTCAATAGCTTTCTCTAGGATCCAGTCTGAGTACGGTGCCCAGCTTCCTCCCTCTTCACTTGCGTGCAGGGATTTCTCCCTCTCCTGCTTCCATTCTGGTTGCTTGGTCCCCCGTCTCAGGGTCACCTTTCTTGATTCCTTTCCCCCCTCACTTTTCTTTCCAACGCCCATCGACCAGCGAGGCTTGTGGTCCTGTGTCTCCACCACTTCTTCTCCTGAGGAATCTGGCCTCTCGGATCCCAACATCTGGCAAGGTTCCAACTGGGTCAGCGGCTCTCTTTCCAGGGAGTTTTCCCCCTCTTTTGCTCCATTGTCTGACATGGTAAATTTTTGCAAAATCCCCCGGCAAGGGTCTTCCTTCCAGGTGGATTAATTTTGCAAGTCCTGTCTAATGTGAGGACCCACCCCACTTTGCATCTTAAGAAGACAGAACTCTTGGAATAATTCTTCCAACAGGAATCCTTTATTAAGAGAAAATGGTTGCAGGCATGCTAGACAGGACTTGGGGTTCAAGCTCTCCCATTCAAGGTTTTAAGGGGTTCCCCAGTAGTCCCACCCAATCAACCCCCCTTCCAGTGATAGTTTCAAGTATCACAATTCCATCCCCTTTCTTCTTCCGTCTGGATGGAGACTTCAGATAACTACATGAAAGGCAATTACTCTTCTTTGATATGTTAAAGCTTAGAGGCCACAATAAACACACATTCAGTCCTTTGAAGTGTGCTGAAGGAAGTGAGGGCCATAAAGCCCCTTTGCTCTCCCCCTTTTCTCCCTCTTATGGCAGAATCCAGAGAAGGCAGAATTGGGAGTTTCTATGTTTGATAATTAAAGATGAACACACAGATTCACTTGCAAGTGGCTAGGCTTGTTTCCTGCGCAACATTCATAAACTGAATCAGGATTATGAAATTCAAAGTTAAATGCATCCCGAATATTGTCTTGAAATATTACAACTGTATTGTAACTTTATAAAATATAAAACAAAAATGGTTGTGTACAACTTAAATACAAGCAAAGATATGAGATGAGTGCTTGCTGACATTCATGCCTTAGTCATCTCCCATTTGCATTACAGCAATGCCCTCTATATCCATTCTCTTAAAGGCCAGCCATCCATAAGCTGCAAATTGATTGAGAAGAGCAGTGCCAGAGTTTTGGGTGTCCCATAATTCACCTGGGAAGCACCATTGCTGCAAAGCTGTACTGGCCCCAGTTGGTTCAATATGTTGATTATCACCTTTCAGACCCTCCATGGCACCAAGCCAGGTTACTTGCAGGATCGCCTCTCCCTGAGGGCATCTACCCTTCTACTAGACTAGAGAGTGTGCATGCTCCAAGTCCCCTTCCTCAAATGTTGTCTCCTGATATTGGAAGTGTGCCTTCTTGGTGGCTGCCTCAGCCCTTTGGAATACAGCTAGTCCATGGGTTAGGATGGAAATTGGGATCAGGATTGTCATCACTACAATGCAGTTGTAAAGCACAATGTCACATGACCGCTGTGCAGTAGACAAGCATTGGAAAGCATAGGCAAGCTAATGAAGTCAGCAGGTGGGCAGTAGAGTATACAGTAGATCTCAGTGCTCATCATGTAACTGCAGGGATGCTACAATGACCACAACCTTGTGGATCAGTTGTAAGTCCCTCTCTTTCAGTGCTGTCACAATTTGAATGGTTGCTGTATGAGTGGTTGTACATCAAAGACTACTTGTAGCCTCTCACCCGAAATCTAAAGTGTTCCTATTGTTTTTAGCCTTCCAGAGACTAAATGCATTGGCCTAGGATTGTGGTTGAGATTTATTGATTGATTGATTAAATTTATATGCTGTTTACCTCACTGTGCAAAGTGACTTTGGGCCACTGTGATGGATCACTGTTTGATTTGGGAAGAGGGAAAAGTTGACTTCTATTTTAACTATTTTTATTGACTGTTGTGATCCACCTAGAATCATTTTATGAGATATACGTTTTGTAAATAATATATAAATCTAAATCTTTTACTTAAGTCACTATTTATAGAATTAGTCTAAGTGCTGTTGGACTTATTTTGGTATCATTAAGTCGGAAAAGGATAATTGCTTCCTACAATATTTTAGCTTCCTACAATATTTTTGCTGCCCGTTGAAATGACGTCCAAAATATTTGTTTAATTTATGGACTGTTGTTAAAAATATTTTTAATTGCTTATATCATTTATTTGAATGAACTATGCATGCAGATCTAGAAGAAGCTTTATAAAATTATTGTATAATTTTAAAAAAAACATCTCTTTGTCTTAACAGGCCCCAAAACTCAGACAATACAATGGACTGGGGAACCCTGCAATCTGTTTTAGGAGGGGTGAACAAACACTCCACCAGCATTGGGAAGATCTGGCTGACTGTTCTTTTCATCTTCCGTATTATGATTCTCGTAGTTGCTGCAGAGGAAGTCTGGGGTGATGAGCAAGATGACTTTGTCTGCAATACTTTGCAACCAGGATGCAAAAATGTCTGCTACGATTATTTTTTCCCAGTTTCTCACATCAGACTGTGGGCCCTGCAGCTCATTTTTGTTTCTACTCCTGCACTTTTGGTGGCCATGCACGTGGCATATAGACGGCATGAAAAGAAAAAAAAATTCCAAAAAGGAGATAAAAATTGTGAATTCAAGGACATAGAAGAAATAAAGAGACAGAGGTTCCACATCGAGGGTCCTTTGTGGTGGACATACACTGCCAGCATCTTATTCAGGCTGATATTTGAAGCTTCTTTCATGTATGTGTTTTACTATATGTACCAGGGGTATCACATGCCTCGCCTACTGAAATGTAGCATTTGGCCATGTCCCAATATAGTGGATTGTTTTGTTTCCCGACCCACCGAAAAGACAATATTTACCATTTTTATGATTTCAGTGTCTGGCATTTGCATTCTACTAAATGTAGCAGAATTCTCTTATTTGTTGCTGAAGTTTTGTGTTAGAAGGTCTCGAAAAGGAAAAATACCCAAAAATCATGCCATCCAGGGGAACAAAGAAGAAAGCAAACAAAATGAAATGAATGAGCTTATATCAGATAGCTGCCAGAATACAGTAACACCATTTACAAACAACTAGAGTGATCAAAAGTCTAATATGCATTTGATGTAGAGTAACTGCATAACCACCTTCATAAAGCTGCTATGAAAGTGGTTAGATTTGATTAAGCAATAAAGTAACAGGTAAACAAGAGTATTACTACATGTTCGAGCTAGACATGTTTTCTAAGGTCAATACTGACATAAGAATGTTGAAGATTTTAAGATGATGTGATTTACTTTATGTATAACTTTACCAGATCTATTTTGATTTGTTAAAGTAATCCTAATTAGTGCCTTCATACTGAAATTAATCTTTAAACTAAAGAGATGGAATTAACTGCCTTACTGATTAAATACTGTTAGTATTACAAGACCCTTTACCACTGTGGTAGATGTTCTACTTTTTCATCTAAATTAAATTAACATATTTTTCTAAGGACTGATACAGTATTCCATATTTCTTGATGTTAAGACATATGATTAATTAATGTCTCTTTTTTATTTTGATTTCTATAAACGAACAAAATGCTAATGTCTTCACTGTAATGTGATTGGAAAGCAAACATTTTAAATCATGAGCAATAAATAATTCCATGAATATTCTGTCTAATGCCAGTTATAAAATCTCCTTGTGTTGTAATATATTAGTTATAATTTTTAAAAAGATACCGAAATAGTGTTTCATTGGCTACAGAGCATATCCATTATTTTTATTATTTTTTAAATATTATTATTAAACCATAAATGGAAATGATAAAATTAAGAAAGGCAGTGGTAGTTGGCTGAAAATAATGTGAAGAATATGTCTGTCAGCAACATTTAAATCAACTTGCTCTAAATAAAAGAAAAATGTTTTGACTTCCTGTAAATATGTTTACATTTTTTTGTTTTTAAAAAGGGTTGAGACCTTAAAAAAACACTGTGTTTCATCCAAAGGGCAGAAAATTGAAGTACAGATTTAATCAAGTTTTAGTGGGCTAGGATTCTGATATTTAATAGCATGATCTTTACAATTTGAAATTCTTGCAGTTGAATTTCTACTCAACTTTTCAAATAATTTAATACTTAAGTCTGGAGTTACATTTGAGAGTTAACTTAAATTCTACACAAGATTTAAGTTTCAGTCTCCATTATCTTATGTGACATTCACATTCCCAGAAAGAACTGATTCAGTTTAGAACTGCAAGCTAAGTCATAAGCATTGGAATGTATTTATTTATTTTACTATAACAAGAATTGGAAGAAAACTATTGAGATACAGGAAGGACTACAGTTATTATTTGGAGCATTAATGCGCCGAGTAGACAGGAAGAAGAGAAAGATGCAAATTGGGTAGATTTCTATCACATCAATAGATGGGGCTAGGATTTTAATTAATATAGGGAGTTAGGAAAATATAAGTTTAATTTTCAGCAGCCATGGTCAAAGAGATTAAAGCTTTCCACACAACTCATGCTATTCTAATCATAATGCATCAAGGAAAAGATAAGGCAGATTATGCTTCCTGTTCAATTCTACAATAAATGGCAGAAAAAAGTATACTGATTTTCCTTTTCTTCCATATCAGTTAGCTTGATAAGAAACATTAAATACAGCAAATAAAAATAGCACAGTTGGACAAAATTCTAAAATAATCTTTGTCACCCAATGACTGTGAAAAAAAAACAGTTAACTGGCTATTAAATAGAAGATGTCTGATTAATGCAATATGTTTCTAGCTCTTGGGAAACAAATTTCATTGAAATTTGAAAGAGGTTGCTTTGAGTTTTATGTAAGTAAGCCTGCTAGAAAATTTCAGGCTTGAATAATTTTATTTGTTCCTTGAATTCTAATATCCATTGACTATACTAGTAATTCCAAAGTGGTAATAACAGCTGGGAGAAAGTATCAGACACTTGTAGCACAATCATATGGATATTTATTTAAAAGTAATACCACACATCCTTGGTATTAGATTTAGGTGTCTTTGAGAACATGCTTAACTAGGAATTTGTTCTCAGTAGCAAAAGGTGAATTTGATATTTTTCTCACATGTCCAGCTTTTTCATAAAACCTTTGTTCCATAGCCTAAATTTTAATTTGTATTAAAAGCAGGGCACTTACTCTTACTTGCTATTGTTAAATAATTTAAATTAAAAAATTCTTGGTCATCTTCTGCAAATAATCTAGGGAGCTACCTATACATTTAGCCTGATTTCTGATTACCCTTAAATTTCATTTTTGGAAAACCGGCTACACCTGTAGCCTATCTATTAATGAATCAGAATTAACATCTAGAAGCAGAGGGCGATTATTTCTGAGTTTTGCAATGATAGCTTCAGAATATGGTGATGGCTTGTTTGTTTAGCTTGCCCCATCAGACTAAAGGTCCTGTTAGACCTCTCAATGATGTTTAATCCTTAGGTTATTTAACATGTACGTTAGGGCTCCTGATCTGGAGATGCGGTCCAAATTCTGTCTACTTCATGCCTGATGATTTGCATGGTTTAAGAATTTCAGATTCAGTTCTAGAAAGATGAAGTTTCCATGGCTAGCAATACGTCTGCCTCCAGTTGTGGCTATTCATGATATCACATTTCTATTTAATGGTCAGGTTTGCAGTCTGGAGGCCCTTTTTTACCATCATGGTAAAAAAGGGCCTCCAGACTGGAGAAGCAAGCAGAAACTGTGGCCAGGAGGGCTTTTGCCCAGCACCAACTGGTGTATCAATTGTAAACTTTTCTGGGTTAGAAAACTTTGATCACAGTGACTCATGCCTTTGTCACCACACAGCAATGAGACTGCCTTTGAAGGCAATTTGGATACGTCAATTGATCCAAACTGCAGAGGCCCATCTGCTACCTGGGGTAGCAGGTTTAACCTCATAACATCCATGCTTCAGTCATTGCACTGTCCTCCAATTTACTTCTAGGTTAAGTTGTCATCTCACTTTAAAAATGGGAAAGCACACAGCAGTGAGCATTGGTGGTGGTAACATACCTGGAAATCAGCTGTAATCTCTGAGAATAAATACACTTCTGACAGCTGGATGAAGTAATGTAAGAGTAGTAACTCACCCAAAAACATAAAAATGGGGCAGCAGAATACACATTCCATGGATGGCTTAGAGTCTAGACAGATTCTTGTTTTTGTTTTCCTTGGGAGTATGAGAGATTGTTAAGAAAAAAAAGCAGTTATTTAAACACAGATTTTAAGCATACATTGCATGTATATACAGAAGGGTGAGGCTTACATCAATTAGCAATTATGATTAGCATCTTGCTATTTGGCTTTTGGGGATATATTTAGCTGAACACAGCTGAAACTAAGATGCTAGTATAGTGCTTGAGCCAATCCAGAAAGACACTGAAGATTTTTTAGTTCAAGTTACTGTATTTCTTCTCCATGTCTTAAACATTTATCAAGCAATACAAGCTATTCATTTTTCTTATCTGTTGTATTACACAGATGCCCAACATCGATAAGATAGCTCTCTATTTTAATCTGTCACTAAAATACTGGCCTCTAAAGCATTCTTTTCTACAAACGGACTATAGCATTGCAAGCAGAAAACCCCGTGTCAAATGCTTTCTCAGTAAGATGTAGAAAGTCTTAAAATTTGAACAGCAATTGCCAGTCCATGTACATAATAATGAGATATATTGACCAGAGGCATCTCCTGGAAGGGCAAAGGGATTAAGTGATGAAAGATGCATCATGATATCACAATATAAGTCCCATGACTTGTGTCCAACATTGCAATGCGTTTTTTGTTGTTTATTTTTCTCCTTATGGTTTATAACAGATGCCTATGTAATGAATTGTTTTAATCTAGTTTATAAAAACTCCTATGCAAATTAGTATGCAAACTTATTTTTTTAAATAAATGTAACATTTCCCTCTTTGTTATGAAATAAATAAAGAGTAAGAAGTTGAAGGAGCGAATTTGGAACATTTTCCTACCCTTAATTACTGCACTACTTGAAATTAAATGGTGGTAATAAGGTAAAAATCAATTTTGTGTTTATTTAAAAGCACATCCCAAGGAAGTCAGCAGTATTTGTAAGTACAAAGACTAACCCCTGTCATGTAGCAACAGATATTCTCTTATTAGTTTTCTGCAGATCTCCAAATCAGAAAATAGCATTTGAGATAAAACATGAAAAAATACCTCTTGTACATCATTTAACACCAGTTAGTACATGACGTGAGTTGACAATTAATTCAAAGACAGCCGTGTTGAAACATGCAGTATAATAACCAAGTTGAAAGAAAGCTATCCAACTTCTTACAAATAAAAAGCTTCTGAGGTTTCTCAGTAGAATTTAAACATTGGATATCACAATGGACAACAGAGGTTGCCCACTGTGTCTTATTGTAGCAGGAAGAAAATTAAGGCTTCTCAAACATGAACAATATTCCAGACTAAATATTTAAATTATTATAAGGTATGCCATTGTGAAATTATTGCATTTGAAACTGAGATCTAAAACTCAGCAAAGGTGTTGGAAGTGAAGGAGTTCTATAGGTGGGATCTGGTGGCATAGTTAGGCTATTTGGCACTTGAAGTCTATTCAGACAACACGCTCACTTAGTGCCTGCATCCAGCAGTGATTGTTCCCACTGCCTTGCCCTTGGTATGCCATTGGTAGAATCCATCTTGTACTGATTTTAGTTGTCTATATTTGCTGTAAGACCATCAACAAATAGTTCCTTTTGAGGCAGTCCACGTCAGGAAACTGACTACATGAGGACACTGGAATGCTATATGATCGATACAGGGCATAGAGTTTCTGTCTCTCTTCTCTTACACCAAAGAGAATCAAGGTGGGGCAACACTGAACTTCCTTCTTAGCCTTTCCTATTTTTTCAATCTAAGCTGATGTTTACATAACTGCTCTTGTAGAGTTATCTCTATTTTCCTCTACATAAAGAAAGCAGTTGTATTTATGATCATGCTACATCCCCTCCTTAGTTGGTTAGTTACTGTATAGCAAGTGCATCCAACTGCTATGGGCTGCATGTAGCCCTGGATAGCTAGTACCATAATGTGGCATCACAAGATTAACTATATTATACATTTTATATGAGGCCCAAGATATTCCTTATCACTCAATACGGTCCAGACAAGCCAAATGATTTGACACTCATGATGTGTTGGGCACCCCAGTCTGTTATAATTCTGAACGATTTATAAAATATAACCATATAAAAAATGCAAAAAATAAATAAATCATCCAAGTCCAGAAAATAAATCATATTAAAAACTGGAACATCACTCATTACTATGCCCCCCCCCCCGTCTGAAACCATATTGAAAAAGATCTAGATAATCCATATCTTCCAGGGGTCTCTGAAGCTGTAATCTGAGCACCTTCCCAATTACTTTCCCAGAAAGGGAAAATTGGAGACTAAATGAAAATTAATGAAAACCATCAGTCAAGTGAAGGATTCTTGAGAGTGCCTCCTTCAAGTGCAGGGCACCACCTCCACTCTTAAAGAAACAAATACTCTTGCAGAAACCCAACTATTTGCCATCTGTCAGATGGCCTTCACAATGCAGTGTCATATTGAGAGTCATCAGCCCAAGGAATCTGTGCACTTTCTCAAGATTCACAAGTTCATTATGTTAGTATGCTACTGTTCCCAATTTTCCAGCGGTGACCATAAGTGAGTTGCTTGTTTTTTCTTTGGAACACAGTTAACAGATATGTTGTGTTCCTCAGCATTACTAACTACTGCCATTTGATCCTGACTGTGCATGAATTAGCCAACATTTTTGTTCACAATTTAAGGATACTTCCTCTAATGTAGTTCACAAATCTGAGATTTACTGGAGACGATTGCTTTCTGTTCAAGACAAGGCAAATTGCTTCCCCACCCAACAAAA